GTATGAAGAATCCGTGCCAAAACACAAGGCATGTGGTGTGAGTTTCTCAGTTACCTGGTTAACATGGTGACTGCTGGGTCCATTGATGAGCCTTGCCTGAATCAGCCCCTGCTTCTTTGGTGGGTACAGAGTAGTGATTTTCTTTCTTTCTTTTAAGATTTATTATTTGAGAGCAAGCTAGCACAAGAAAGGGGGAGGGCAGAGGGCAAGGGACAAGCAGACTGACCACTGAGCGCAGAGCCTGATGCAGGGCTCCATCCCAGGACCCTGAGATCACAAGCTGAGCCGAAGTCAGACACTTAACCGACTGAGCCACCCAGGCGCCCCAAGGATAGTGATTTTCTACTTAATGTGACTCCTTCTACATTTATTAGTTGACATTCTTATTAATGTAAAGAAGAGCTCCCCTTCCCATTCATTCATTTTAACAGACTATTTTTTAGAGCAATTTTAAGTTCACAGCAAAATTGATCAGAAAATACAGTTTCAAGGGTCGCCTCGGTGGCCCAGTTGCTTGAGTCTCCGACGCTTGGTTTTCCCTCAGGTCATGATCTCAGGGTCATGAGATCAAGCCCTGCAGGGAGTCTCTTTCCCCTCTTCTTCTCTCTCCCCCTCTCCCCCTCACTAGGTCTTGCTCCCTCTCTCAAATAAGTCTTTGGGCAGGGAGAGAAAATACAATTCCTCTATTCGCCCCTCTCTCTCTCTCTCTCTGTCTCACACACACACAGACACACACACAGCATAGGTGGCCCTGCTATCAGCACCTACACCAGAGGAGTACGTTTGTTACAGTCCATGAACCTACACTGACAGTGTCATTAGGGTTCACTCTTGGTATTACACATTCTGTGGATTTTGACAAATATATAATGGCCCCAAATTATTTCTTAATTATCTATAAAACATTTTGAGTCTCGATTGTAAGTGCGTTGACACTGGAAATTGTTAGTCCACCCATGTGTACCGTGTGTCAGTGTATTAGGCGCCTTATATTTGTTATTTCTCAGTAACTCAAGCTCTGTGTTTATTAACCCAGTTTTACAAATAAATAAAGCTTAGAGAAATTGAGTAACTCCTCACGGTCACATGGTGGAGTAAGTTTGTGGCTGAGCTGGGATTCAAACCAGAACCTCTACAAATTAGCAATGAGATGTGGTAGAGTCAAGGTCCTGCCTTTGCCACTTTTGAGCCCCGTAACCGTAGACGTGTAACCACTTCTTGTTACCCGGGAGGACTTGGTGTTGAGGATTAGTAATACGCATTTGAGGACAGGTGAAGTTGTGCATGGGCAGTGGTGGAGAATAGTATGTACATAGCACTTGCTGTACAGAATCTAAAATTCTTATTAGAGCATTCGTATTAGCCACAGCCTGACAGTAGCAGGAAGCAGGTGTGTTATGAATGGGTCAGCTTCAGCAGCTTTAGAAGGCCTTCCTGAATACAGTGTGCCAACTCTGGATGGTCCATTTCGACATGTATGAGGATGACCAGGCATGAGGGGGAGGGTGTTTGTTAAGGTTTAGGATATAAACATTTTGTAGATACGGAGTCTATGTAAATAGGTAACCAGCTAGCTGTACAAGAAGGGTATGTTCTGTTTGGATTTGAATTGCCAGGGAAATGTATGTTTACATAGATTCTGTGTTTCCGTGGACATTTCTGTCACCAAAAAATAGGCACCCTGGTCATGAATGATATTTTGGCATACTCTTGATAATTTCAAGATGTTATCGTACATTCAAGTGGAGTGACACATGGGTGGTGCGGCTGAGCGGAAGACGTTTTCCTCGTCTCTGCTCTGGGTTGAGTAGACTTGAACCCTGTCTGTTTCCCCTCCAGGTCCCGCGGCAGTGCTGGTGGCCATGGTTCCCGCAGCCAGAAGGAGCTGCCCACCGAGCCCCCCTACACAGCATATGTAGGAAATCTACCTTTTAATACAGTTCAGGGCGACATAGATGCTATCTTTAAGGATCTCAGCATAAGGAGTGTGCGGCTAGTCAGAGACAAAGACACAGACAAATTTAAAGGTGAGTTTGGGAGAGTCCTACTGTGTGTTACCGTGCGGGGGTCGGAACCAAATGTTCGGAGGCCAGAAGGCTCCAGTTATGAAAGTGTTTACATATTTGTCTGAGTAGCTGAAATAAACATGGCCCTTCAACCCATAGGCTTTTAGTTCTACTTGGGGGAAAATGTTTCACACATGATCTAATTTGTAGAAATCCACGGTATCAATACGCCCAGGTCAGTGTTCTGTTGGCCTGACCTGTCCGTCCTGTCTGTGCCAGCCACGGAGTCCCCGGGAGGGAGATGAACAGACAAAACGGAGGGCTTTGCAGGTGCGTTTCACCTTGGCCCGACTCATGGCATTTTTCTTTGTTTTCCTGTAATCTAGGTATTTGTATAGAATTCAAAAGAGAACCTAATACATATTGTCACTATACCTTGGTGACTTTAGAGTGTGTGGGGGAGAGGGTTGGCTCAAATTTCAGATAAAGTTAGTGTCTATAGATTAGTCTCTTTAGGGCACTTGAGCGGGGAAGCCGTAAGAAAGAAGAATCCTACCAGCATTATCTCCTGGCTTTCAAGATTCCCTGAGGGGAAATGTGCTCCCTGTCTGAGGGCATGGTGCAAGGTACAAGAGCATTTGGTTTACATTATTTATCCAGAAGAACACCCAGGAAAAGTACAGAGTGACGTCCGGTGAGGAGAGGTATGAGAAGCCGAGGTTTCGCTCATCTGAACAGTTTTGTGTATATAGGTGGTACTTTTCTCATTATGAAAGTTTTTTGGCTTTAGAACCTGAAGCCTTGTTATAATAAGTGCCCAAACAATGAAAACAAACATCCGTTCAGCTTGTGAAAGTAAGGCCCACCCAGTGTCCCTGCTTGAGGCACCAGGAGTTCCAGGCTTCAGGGGAAAGGGCGGGGGCCAGCCTTTGGGCTGAGTCCATAGCAGCAAGTTTTAGTTTATCTCCTAGAGAGAGGGTCATCCTCAGTTTTGGCAACTCTGAAGGGTGAGGTGGGTGAGTGGGCTTTTGTTGGCCTCTTTGAACCTGCAGGGTGGTTTCCTCAAATACTCTAGACGTTGAATCCACTTAGCGGGGAAGGGGGGGGCTTTCCAGCCAAGCAGTGCATTCTTTTTGTAAGTAGTTGGTGAGCAGATGGTGAACAGGACGAGTTTGGACCCAAGCCTTCGGAGCGCTTGCAGTCTAGTGGGCTTTGAAGGTGAAGTGTAATCACCACACAGGATGGGATACGCGGGGTGGAAGGGCCTAGTACAGGGCGCAGTGTAAGCATATCGGGGCAGGGGGTGCTTAACCCAGATTTAGTCTCCAGGCGGCAGGGAAGGGGCGTGGAAGAGTGTTGGAGGTAGAGGAAGAAGCTAATGCAGAGGTTCGAGGTGAGAGAAGGTATGGTTTTCTCTGCCTGGAATGTTCTCCCATTTGCAGGCCTGTGTCAGAATCCAGCCTCAGGGACACAGGTTGTCGGTAACATGTGCTTGAGCCTAGGCTATTTGTCTTTTAATTAGCATCCCAAGGAGGATGCTCTTGTTACTGAGGGTGTATTTTTTAGCTTTATAAAGCAGATTTTATACCAGCTACCTGAGTAGTAAGTAGTAGGTGCCTTCAGCCTGTTCCTTCAAAGCCTGTTTGGTATTGAATTTGAAATCTGTGTCTTAAAGCCCCATTTGGGTTATATTAAAGTCAAAAGTCAGAACTAACAGCTCTTCACAATGACCCAGGAAAGATTTGAATATTATGGTTAAAACTCATAAAAAGAAAGCTTTTTAAAAACACAGCTGCCAAATATTTCAATGCCTGTTTGGCACTTTCTGACAGTATAATTGAGAGGAAGGAATGCCAGTCAGGTATTTTCTGTTTATCATGAAATACAGTCTCTCTTTTAGGTTCTACTAGTCTACTGTCCCCTAGATGCAACAAGAGTGGGGAAATGGACCAGAGAGGGATTCCCACTGTGTCTTAACCCAGAATTCCTTGAGGAAATTGGGGTTTGTTTCTCTTACAGGATTCTGCTATGTAGAATTTGATGAGGTGGATTCCCTTAAGGAAGCTTTGACATACGATGGTGCAGTAAGTATTTTCAGGTTTTCTGTGTCATGTTAGAAGTTGAGATGTTTATTTCTTGCCAATACTTACACTATTTTCCCCTTATCGTTAGCTGTTGGGTGATCGGTCACTTCGTGTGGACATTGCAGAAGGCAGAAAACAAGATAAAGGTGGCTTTGGATTCAGGAAAGGTGGACCAGATGACAGAGGTGATTGGTTCTTCTAAAACTGAACATAAAACTTCCTGTATGCCCACTAATTACAACTCTCAAAGGTTATTAGTCTGATAGGTTTTTGTGAGCTTTTAAAACACATGTAAAAATCTTAAGAGAGAATGGATAGTGCTTCTGTAAGCCTGGAGTTTTTTGTTTTGTTTTGGGTTTTTTTGTTTTGTTTTTTCTATTGGCAGCAAGAACTCTTAACTCCTGTGAACTTCTCATGAGTTGTCCATCTTTCCGATGAATTTTTCCATGTTTGTGCAGCAAGGTAATGGTACGACCTCAACTTTATCTTTTTTGTGTATCCTCAGGAATGGGTGGCCCTGGAGAATCTAGAGGTGGATGGGATTCCCGGGATGACTTCAATTCCGGTATCAGCATTTAAAATATTGCCACTTACCTTTTTCAGTGGCCTTGCTGCTGTTGCCCGTTTGTTGTGAGTAGCCTGGCCGGACCGCTCCTTTAGCTCATTGCACAGATGAAACTGTCCTGGAAGGTCCCCAGGCATGCACTAAGCCTATGTTGGGACCTGAGTGTTTGGGGTAGGACTTGAGGGGCTCCCTACTGTTGGCAAGGTAGGCTCATCCACCGGCTTGTCTTACCTTGCCTCGGCCTACAGTTCTCATCTGGGCCTTCAGCTCAGGAATCCTCTTGGCGGCGCTAGTGTGCACGGTACACATGGAAGCTCTGATACTTCTAGAAATAGCGTGGAGGTTTTGGAAGCTGACAAAAAGCCTCGTCGCTGTGGTTCTTGGTGGCTCCCTCTTGCATGGTTGAAGTCCTGGTGACCGGGGTTTCTTTCTTTTCTTTTTTTCTTTTAAAGATTTTCTTTATTTATTTGACAGAGAGAGACACAGCAAGAGAAGGAACACAGGCAGGGGAAGTGGGAGAGGGAGAAGCAGGCTTCCGCAGAGCAGGAAGCCCGATGCGGGGCTCAATCCTAGGACCCTGGGATCATGACCTGAGCCGAAGGCAGACGCTTAACGACAGCCACCCAGGCGCCCCCCCAGGTTTTCTTTCTTGAAGGGCATGGAACCTCCTATCCCTTCATAGTGGACATGATCCACTTCACTATTCCTTTTCTTAACTGACCAAGGCAGCCTGTCAGGTGCCTCCCTGTCTTATCTCAGGAGGTCAGTTTGCATGTCAGTCCTTTGCTTTGAAGGGTTGATCTCCTAAACAGTCCTTAAACTCTTTACGTTGTTTTGTTGTTGTTTCGTTTGGGTTTTTTGCTTTTTTTTTTTTTTTTAAGTAAAAGTAGTTCATATATGTTATAAAAATGGCCATTGTAACAGAAAGGTAAAACCATGAAAAACAAGTCTGTTATTTTTCCTATAAACTCTGCGCTCTCCTCCATTGTATAAGACGATACCATCAGCACCCCCACCCACCCTGTGTCACCCTCCCCCATCAAACCAAATTCAGCATAAAGTATTTGGTAAGTATGGGAAGTAGGACAAGCTGTTGTAGACCAAAATTCTTAAAAACTCTTTTCAGTACTACTTTAGCTAAACAGATGACTGCTTATGTCTGTTGACTAACTCAGTTCCTTAGAGTCCTATAGCCAGTCAGAAATGAGCTTATTCATAAAAGTACAGTGTGATCCAGTAAGCCTGTAATTTTATGTATAAGCTGGTCTCTGATTGAAACATGCAGCAGATGTCTTCTCAGAGTCAGTCCAGGTGCAGCTGTTAGTGACCTGAGGAGTGGCGGTCTCGGACCTGCCAGTTTTGAATTTCCGGTACTGGAGGAATAGCACTTGAGCTTACAGCTCTGGAAATGTGGAAGTAACCCAAGGAACGGTTGCCTTAGTTGGACTTTTACTCTCCGGAGCTGAGTACACAGCCAGAGGCTACCTAGACACCGGCCAGTTCCGGTGTCCCCTGCAGGGTTTTGGTGGTTTCTAAAATTGCAAGTGCCCACGTGGTGGGGTTAATGCCTATATACATTATTTGTGAAAATACATCTTTTTTGCTCTTTAAAAAAATGATGCTATTTTTAAAGTGATACACGCTCGTTATAAAAAAAAAAGACTCAAACAATAACAAAAAATACAAAGAAGAAAGCAAATAAAGTCCCACCACGTGTTAAATTAAACTTTGTGAAAAAATGACAAAAAAAAAAAAAAAAACCTTAGAAGGTTCTCATGAATGCTGTGCCTCCTAAAAAATCTCAGACCTTGCTTTTCCCTCATGATCTTCCCCTGCTCCTTTCATAAGAGATTTTGCAATGAGGTTGTCACTTGCTATTAACGTGCACTGCTTTTTTCCTCTACCAAACTCTGCGTCGTGCACCTGGACAGGGCAGCAGCTGTGTTTATCTGCCTTGTCAGTCAGTGTGAGTGTGAGCTGATCTATGTTACACACTGGTAGCAAGAATTATTCGCTTGGGGAAGTAACTTCTATACCCACATGGAAAAGCACACTTCTTAGTTTATTGGGGGAAAATGTCAGGTTAAATGTTTGAATACCAGTTAATCTCATTTAACGAACAGTGTGGGCTCTGGTTCAAAAGATTCTGTAAAGAACCTTATACCCGACCGTATGCCTCCCAGTGTGTTTTCCCCAGCTCTGTGCTTCTGTTGGCCTGGATCTTTTTGAAATTGTTTTCATTACTTGTTTTGTTAAAATCGGTATTGTCCAGCTCCATTTCTGAGCTGGGTTTCAGATAACTTGATCTCTTCCCAAATTCTTTGGCCACCCTTGAAGAACAGAAAAATACCACCCTTGCAAACAGAGCACGTTCTCCATATTCAAGGGAGTTAAGTTTAAAAGCACTGAGAACACCAGATGAGCAGACACCACAAACCATTGCTCCTAGGGGGAAACAGCAAGGTCAGAGTCCTGTGAGTCTCTGGTCACAACGTTTCTGTCAGTCAATCGGTACATACCTTCTTGGGTGATTTCTGTTCTAAAGACACTTTATTTCATGTATACTGTTGATTCAGCTGACTGGGAACTCAGGGCCAACCGCACTAGACCCAGATGGAGCTTAACTAATGCGCATTTCCTGGATAAGGCACAGGACCGCCTTCTTGCACTTAGGAAGACCTGGCGACTCTTCAGCGCGCTCCGTTCTGGGGCCATTTTAAACAGTGCAGTCGCCAAGGAAAAGCACAAAAGCAAAAAACCTGGCACCTAATAGATTGAAAAGACACTCACAGTCTGAGCTGAAACAAGAAGCTGACTGTTGCTTCGTTCAACCTTAGCTGCAAAACACGCATGTCAGGCGACTCCCGTCTTCCGCTGCTCTGCGCATGTCTGGAAAAGCAGACGTGCTAAAAGTACTGATTTTAGGGTCACTGGCGAGATGCTGGCGAGTAGACAAAATTGGCAGATAGGAAATCTGTGAGTAATGGGGGTCAGACCACATATATAGTATTCCGCGGGCTCAGGATTCTTCTTAAAGATAGATTCTTCTGGAGCTTTGAGCGATGGCACCATCCTTGGAGTAAAAGTAGCCACCTTTGGGGGCTGAGAGGGGGCAGGCTCATTTGTTTGACTACAATTTTATTTCTTAAATTTTTTCCGAGAGTAAACTCACTTCAGTGGTCTGTACTGTTAAAAGGCTCGAACCCCCTCTAAATGGAAGTCTTTTCAGTGAAATACGAAACTGAAGAAAACTTAAGGTTCTTAAATTAAAGCCGATGGAGAACATCATCTATACCACCCAGACGAGCATCATCACACTCTTCACTTGTAATGAGGCGCAGTTTACTCTGGTAACGGTTTTGGCAGAGACCCTAGGAATGGGGAGAAAGCCCTTCCTCTTGTTCACAGCAGGAGAGGTGGTGCAGATTGGGGGTGAGGCGCGCCCCCCCCGAAGGGAGTGAGCCCTGCCACATACACACGGGTGCTTGACTCAGACCCACACCTGAGACACAGCAGAGACACAGACGGGGGGTGTCACCCAGAGGTGGCATCGTGTTTTTATTTTGTCGTCATGTCTGGTTTTCTCTTGGGTTTTGCTGGAACTTTTAAATTTCAGGTTTATCCTTTTAATAATTAGAGGTTTATATTAGGAGACGGAATAAAATGGGCTTTGAGGATTTTTGTTTTGTTGTAAACAAGCCTTATTCTAGTCTTATGTAATGTTTTCCTCCTCCCTTTTTCTGCAAAGTTTAAATGGCTCATTTTATTTTTCTCTCCAAAGAAATGTTAAAAGTCTGTTATAACTGAGATTACCCAGCACATTCCCATTGGACTCCTTGCAGTGCACTTTTATTTCGCAAAAGCTTCCGATGTTGGACGAACTAAAGAATTTCAGATCAAACTGTCTACACCGGCTGCACGGTCGGCTTTGAGACAGCGGCTTAAAAAGTAATCCAGTGTCCTCTTCCTTCTTCAGGCTTCAGGGATGACTTCTTAGGAGGCAGGGGAGGGAGTCGCCCCGGTGACCGGCGAACAGGCCCCCCAATGGGGAGTCGGTTCAGAGATGGCCCGCCCCTTCGAGGGTCCAATATGGACTTCAGAGAACCGACAGAAGGTATGGCGCTGCTTTCTCACTGCAGGAAGTCTTCTCCTGGCACGCCGACCGTACCCACCCCCCCGTGCCTTCTCGTGCCCTGGACAGTGGCTGCTGTGGACCACCCCTTAGTCTTAACGAGGACGTTTACCTTTGTTAGAGTGTTTGGGGGTGGGTAGGTCTTTGAGGCCGGCTTGCTAGTTAGAAAGCGGGCTGGGTTACAGGGGCTGCCATCGGTTTGGTCATTTCACCCGGAGGGGGAAGGGGGTACATTCTTTATAAACCACACTGGTTTTTCTCCTGCAGAGGAAAGAGCACAGAGGCCACGGCTCCAGCTGAAGCCTCGAACAGTTGCAACGCCCCTCAATCAAGTAGCCAACCCGAACTCTGCTATCTTCGGGGGAGCCAGGCCCAGAGAGGAAGTCGTGCAGAAGGAGCAAGAATGAGCTTGGGGTTGGGAGGGAATGGGGTGTGGGGGGGTTAGCGCGAGACCACAGCCTGGCCAGCCCCCGGGGCCGGCGGTCCTGCCGCCACCATTCCTGCGCCCGACCTTGGTCCTCCTTTCTTACAACGGAAACACAGAGCTTGTGAGCGCATGTCAGCAGTTAACAAGTGGTTTTTAGTACATTCTTGGCTTTGCTGAACCTATCTAGTGCCTGTCTCGTGCTTTTTTTTTTTTTCCCTGCTACTCCCTCCCCCTTTTCCTTCTGTCCTTTCTCCTTCCCGCTCCTTGTTTCCTTCCAGTACATGAGTGTCTCCCGAGGGACAAAGGCAGCCACCTGTGGGCGTTCTTTGGATGGAGGTGCTGCTCCATTTTTCTCCTTCGCTTTCTCTCTTTACTTTAGACACACTGGCCAGACCCAGTTGTTTCTTTGATTTTTCTCAGCGCTTCTCTTCCGACCTGCATGTTGAGTTCTGTATTGCTGTGGCTTCCAAGGGGGGAAAAAGAAGAAGGGGTGGGGGAAGAAAATGGGAAAGAAGTCACAAATTGGATAGCATCTTGTTTTTATTCCACTGTGATCAATGTATAGAATTTGAGGCACCTTGTTTTCAAAACAAGGATAAGGTATCTGTTGATCCTTGCAAATTCCTTCCTATCCCTATTTATAAGCAGCCCTGTCTCTGCTACTCCCGCCCCAAATGGATTATTCAAGCAGAAGAGGCTCTCATTTCAAACGTGGAACCCGAAAGAAGCGGGTAGTGGTGTGAAGTGTCGGAGAAGACCAGCGGAGCACACCGCTGTGTTCACACCCGCTAATGTCGCTCTTTCAACACATCGTGCACGCTGGTTCCCTCCTCCCTGGCCGTGGTAGAGGCGCCTCTGGGCGGCTGGGTGCAGAAAGCCTCCGTCTGGTCTCCTTTCCGCCAGCCAGGGTGCTCTGGGGGGGACTGAAGGGCAGTGGTGGCAGAGCCGTGCCCGGGCTGCCCCGACTGTGTGGATGCGGCTGCTCCTCCAGTCCCTGCTACGTGTGGATCCCACATCTCTCCCTTGCGTTTATCTCTCTGTTCCTTGGTGTAACAGTGAGCTACTGTGCTTCCCACCTTCCCTGGATTTTATAATGAAAATGGGCCTACAACCTGGCACTTTACTGTTTCGCTTGACGAATTGAGGATTTTACTATGCAGAGCTGTCAGGGACTCCAGATAGCTGGCAGGTGGCTGTCAGTCACCGGGTCTCCTCTTTGGGCAGGGCTGCTCGTTGCCACACAGTGCGTTAGGCACTTCCCCGGGGGCGGGGTGGGGGGGTTGCTGGGCCGAGGCTTCTGGGTTGGAACACCCGTGTGTGAACAACTTCGTTCTGCCGCTCTGGGCCACAGGGAGGAGAGCCCCGTGCGTGGGCTGGGGGGGTGTCTGCGGGGTGCGGCCCAGCCTGGGCAGTGCCGCATGCTGGGCCATTGCTCGTCCCTGGCCGGCCTCCCCGGCTCTCTGTCCCAGGGTCTCAGCAGCTACAGAACTCTGTCTCCTCTCCTTCCTTCCCCTGCTACCTCTGCTTCTGAAATAAGAACCATTTGTGTGACACCAATACTTTACTTAAGAAAGACATGCATTATGTGGTTGTAATCAAACCTGATGCTTTCAGATGACCTACTTACATCTTCAATGGGGGAAAGATTAAGAACAAAACAAATTCATCTAAACTTCTGGGCCATCCAGTTGACTTTTAAACGTAAGAATGGAATTCCAAACACTTCACACATTCAGCTATATGACAGAAAGGAAATCTATGGATACGGTATTTTGTGAATGATCTTTTAAATAAAAGAAAACCTTACGTAATATTTAATGCTTGTCCTTATTTTTGAGTTCTTTTTAGCTACCCTCTCGTGAAATTGCACAATCTTAAAGTCGAGAAGCAGCACCCCAATCTCGCAGAAAGCCCTACAGCTGCCGTGAGACAGGCATCTTGCTTCTGGAACTTACAGGCCTCGTGAAATTATTTTCAGAGCCAGTGATGTTGAGAAACAGCACACCAGGGTCTTCCTGCCTTTTCTTCTCTCATTTCCTAAAAATCTGACTTTCTGAACAGACCTTGCATACACAGGTGTGGGGCCATAGTGTTTGGGTTTTAAAGGCACTTTCTCCCCCAGAATGGAAGGTGTGCGTGCTTTTAATAAGTGCTTATTTTTAGCAGAAATCCAGGTGCTCTTGGGGACAGTGGTGGGTGCTGCTTCATGGCACGCAGAGGGAGGCGCTGCTGGGCGGTTGTGTGGCCCAGTGGACAAGGTGCAGGGCTTTGCCGTGTCTGGGAGAGGCCCAGCTGGCGGGGACGGCGGTGGCAGAGGACCTGGCACCGTGCGGGATTTGCTTACTGGGAGGTGAGCCTTGACTGTGGCTTACCCTGCAGGGGGAGGGTGGGGAGGGCAGGCGTGGCTGTTCACTTGGACCGCTCCCCTGCCGAGCCTGGAGGAGAGGACTCAGTGCCTGCTGGTGTTTCCTTTAAGGGAGAGGGTCCCTGAGACCGAAAACCCTCTGCCCTACGTGGAGTCGGGCTGGTGGCCAGAGGCTTGAAGTCCAACTCAATGAGGCTTCTTTCCGAAGGTCCCTTGGATGCCACCTTTGAAGGACCTGTGGCGTGTTCAGGCCCTTGGAGGGTCATCGGGGTCTCCAGAGGTGTCTCGGGATTGAAACGCCACTCTTGCTCGGCTGTCTTCCTCCCTCTCCCTGCACGTCTCTCCTTGGCCCGTAGTGTTTGTGCAATGCTAAATCTTACAGAAGGCATCCTGTTACCTGCCTCTCATCCGTAAATAACTGAATTAAGAGAGGAGGGCACATCTTTGCCCAGATGAGCGCCTAAATAAATAGGTTCATTTTCATAAAAGTTTGCACCCACTATGAATGTTCCAGAGATAGGTTTAGGTAGTTGACGCCTGGTTTCTGTCTGCATTTTTTTTTTTTTCTCCCTGCTATTCTTGAACTGCCTTCAGAGAAACCAAGTCTAATGGAATACCAAGTGGGGCCCTTTTAATAAGGGGCTCAGGTTTCTGAGATTTTTTTTTTTTTTTTTTTTTTTTGTTCTGAGAATGTTTTTACCTTGAAGCCCATCTTGTCAGGGGCCAGATTGTCTCTCCAGGTCCCAGGAGAGGAGAAGTTTGCACAGCCAACTTCCAGAAGCCGGGGTTTCCCATCCTGACCGAAATAGCTTGTTTCTTCAGGGAGGTCTTAGCAGGAGGCAGAAAGGAAGAGATCAGGAGGGGTGCGTTTGGGTCACAGAGGAGGGTGCTGGCATTGTTGCCTGGCCTCCGCTCTCGAGTCAGGATCTCTAAGGAATGGCCTGGCTTTCTGGTTGAAGGAGGTTACTTGGTCAAGCAATTCGTCAAGAACAGGAAGAGCCAGTTACCAGCAGCCTATAAAGCAGCTCCTGCTTGAGACTTGCTAGAAACAGCATCTCTCTGCCGTGCGGGAGTGAGACGGCGCTCTGCGGCCCCTAGGGGTTCTTGGATCTGCTTGTTTGTTTATATTTTTAAGTAAACTCTATGCCCAACCAGGGGCTCGAACTTAGGACCCTGGGATCAAGAATCGCACGTTCCACCAAGTGAGCCAGCCAGGTGCCCCCTGTTCATTTCTTTAAAGCCTTATTTACAATCGGCCCTTTTCACGAGGAGTACTTTAAATACTCCGTTGTTTCCCTCTGTCTCCTTCTCAGATTCCGCCTGGCTGCTGGGGTCATGCGGGGCCACTAGCCTGTGCAAGGCCTTTTCTCCGAGTGATACTGGCAGTGGGACCTGCTAGGGCCCAGTGCTGTGCACGGGGCTCCTTGGTCTCACAGAGAACGGGCCAGGCGGTTCGTGCCAGCCACCAGCCACTCCTCTGTGCCTGCCCCGCGGACTTCTCACCAGTGCTCCTTCCGGGAAGTTAGGAGGGGAGGCAGACAGGGTGTCCCATCCCGGGCCTTGTAAGCGATCCTCGGTGTGTCCCAGGTGGCTGTCTTGCCCTATGCTCCCCGGACCTGGTTTGCCCTGCGTGCAGGGCCATGAAACAGCCCTGGCTGCAGGGAGACTGCGTGGCTGGTAGGTTGGTTGGGCAGGGCTCCTGGTGCTTCCCTGGCCTGGCCGTGTCTGCCCTTTGTTTGGGTGAGCGCTTTGCTCTGTCTCTTGTGTGTTCCTGGCCAATCTTTAACCGCGGTGAGAGGTTTGATGCTTACATGAGGTTCACAGGCTTCTAAATCCACACATCGTAGAGGCTTCTTTCTGCAGTTTTTTGCCATGAACTTGAACCGAAATAATGTACTTAACTATAACCTACTACTATCTCTTCCCCCCTCTGTAACCCCCCTGTAGGTGTAAAATACCAAATATACAAATAAAAGCACACGATTTCACAGTGGCAGGCTCTTTGGTGTTCCGTTTGAGCCCTACAAAGAACTGTTTCCTGTACCTGTTCTTTTGGTGACTGTCGGAGGCAAGGTAAACGTTCGTAAAATCATTAGTGGCCCAGAAGCTTATCTTTCTGAACAGGATGGGGAGGGAGAGAAATGAGAGCAGCTTTTCAGGTAGCCCAGGGATCCTGTAAATAACACCAAGATGCCTTGGAATTGGTAGAGGTCTTGCTCACGTGCATTAGGCTCTTGAAATTAAGAGTGCGCTCCCTAGATCTTTTTTTTAAGTACTCTTATCAAATGAGAAGGATGAAGAATGATATTCCGCCTCACTAGCACAAGTCCTGGCTAGCACAAGATCACAAAGAGAAAAAAATAACTACCGCACGCCCGTTCAAATGGCAGACATCACGACCCAACAAACCGGTTGCTAGAGAGTTTGTGGGTCTCATGTCTTACAGAGGAGCGTGTAAGTGGGAACTACACTTGGGGACTTAACTTGAAAATGGCATGTGTCCATGCTCTGTAGCCCAGTGGTTCGCCTCCCGGGTACGTGCCCCAGAGAAAATTCACAAGAGCAGCAAAAGCTGTGTTCAGATGATGGAGTGAACCAAAGGCACACAGCATTGGATCACGACGCAGTAGATGGAAAATAAGCCCAAGCGCTGACAGACAGCATGGTACTTTTATAAAATACAAAACGCTTTAGAAATCTACATACTGGTCCTGAGGTTGGGGGAGGCAGGAAGATGACGATACTGTGGGTTCCTTTGGGTAGTGAGTTCACAACCAAGAATAAATGTTGGAACCGGCTGGGGAGGGAGGGGGTGGAAGGGAGGCTCATTTGCACCTTAAGACGTGGGGGTGGCAGATGACATACGTGGCTCCAGGGACTTCTAGAATGTTGTACACACTTCTCCAGGTGATTTTTCTGAAGGAAATGCATAGCTTCCCATCAGTCTTCAGGACATGTATGACCCCAGAAGATTCTCAGCTTGGAATTGTTTTTAGAGCTGTCGCATTGTTACCTGGGTATCTTGATTGGGTCACGGATGTGCACACAGCACACACTCAGTGAACTGAAAAAAGCCAGGTGTCTGGAGTGATGATGAAGTTTTGGGGACAGGTCGTGGTGA